GTCTCCTCATGTGTATTTGAACCCTCAGTCTGCTTCTGTTCTTTGCTGTTTCCTCTCTTATCCCTTATGCTGTGTGCTCATCTGTCTGTATGTTTCTCCACTAGACCTAGTTTCTCAGTCAGTTTGCTCCTGCCCTGCTCTGTCATTGTGTTTTATTAACCAGTCAGTTGCCAGCTAATAAAAGCTGTGTTTTAGGTTCAGCCTGTGTCACAAGTCCTGCATTGGGGTCCTCTTCCTTCCTTCCTTTTTTTAAGCATTTACTTTCACTTTTTCTTTTACAGTTTGCTCTTTCAAACACAGAGAACAATTATCACCATACAAATAACTGACAGGGACCCTTCCAGAGTCTCCAGCTGACTTTTGACCTGTCACACCTGATGAGGTCGAGGAGGGCATCAGCCGAGGTCATGACAGGCCCGCCACCCAGCCGGTTGCTCTCCATCTCTGTGCCCACACCTGGTTTGATGATGATCACGAGAAAGATGCCGACCACTACGGCAATGAAGGTGGTCCAGAGGTAGTATGTGACGGTGAGGACACCCATTCGGCAACATGCCTTCGACTCCATCGATGATAGACCCGACATTAAACTGCACAGCAAGGCAAGGAAAGAGGGGGATTTAGAAAATAGTCTGGATCCATCAACAGAGAGGATACACAACTGTACCATAGTGCTGACTGAGAGGTACTGAATAAGAAAATCTATAACAGATCTCGGCTTCTTCAGACTATTTGTTTTAAAACCAGTTTGGGGACACATCTAACAGCAGAATCCTGTTCTGCTGTTAGAAAACTACTCTGTACTTACTACTTAAGAAAAGACTGAAATGTTACTGATAGAAAGCCATGGACACAGTTATTTTTGTGGGTGGTCTTATTGCGTAGATTTGATGCTGGGAGGAGACACAAATCACACTGAGGTTGTTTGAGGACGGCCATGAAAGTCTGTGTCAAGTCAAATATGTGGAGCTATCCATGTTTTTCTTTTAGAGGATTTACCCTTCTAGTTGAAAATTTATGGAGGAGAATCTTTAAATCTTTAAATATGAATAAAGTCCACGAGTCCTGTCATTGGACTGGACTTTGATTTATCTTATAAGTGTCATAAGTGTCAGAATCAGTATCTCGAGGCAAAACTTTCCAAATAAATATGCTGTTAATATGCCTTTGTTTGATATTTTTATATGCATAATTTATGGATTTTCTTTAGTAATGTGGGTGAGGAAACATATGTGGTAACACACCGACAAAAATGTGGTCCCACTGTAAACACCTGCTGGTAGATTTAGTCTCAATTAGAAGGCCAACTGCACTGTTCCTAACAAACAGGTAAAGTACTGCATGTTTAACTGAAATAACTGTAATAATAA